TCGCCTATTCATCGGGCCGCCGCTGTGCCAAGCTGCCGCCACCCTATTCGTCGCTCGCCTATTCATCGGGCCGCCGCTGTGCCAAGCTGCCGCCACTACTACTCGCCGCTGACGTATTCATCGGGCCGCCGCTGTGCCAAAGCCGCCGCCACCCTATTCGCCGCTCGCCTATTCATCGGGCCGCCGCTGTGCCAAAGCCGCCGCCACCCTATTCGTCGCTCGCCTATTCATCGGGCCGCCGCTGTGCCAAGCTGCCGCCACTCTATTCGTCGCTCGCCTATTCATCGGGCCGCCGCTGTGCCAAGCTGCCACCACTGCTACCCGTTTATTAACATTTCGACTGAACTTTGTGATTTAGTGTTCTTCGTAAAACGTTCTGAACGTGATTTTATTGTGTTTAGTGTAGTGTTAGTGTTATTTAAGGAAATAAATTTATAACGTTTTAAGAAAATATTTTTGCTTCGCTCTCTCTCTCTTTATGTCCTAACAAATAAATTTTTGTGACGACTCTGGCCCCCGCTGAACCTACCCCAGCTTCAAAGTGAAAACACGTCGTCACAATGGCGCCCGAGCAGGGACTATAAAAGAGAGAAAGAATAAATAAATGAGTGAACAATAATTAGACAAATACAGATGAAAACCCAGTGAAAAAAAAAAACAGTTAAAAAAAAAAAAAAAAAAAAAAAAAAAAAAAAAAAAAAAAAAAAAAAAAAAATGTCAAACGAAAAGACAATGTTGAAGGTCTCCTGGGCCTATATGCTAAAGCAAGAAGACTTGGTAACATATCTTACTGAATTCAATCTTGATCCAGTTGGAAAAGTGGACGATCTCCGAAAAAGATGGGCTAAATTTCTCCACAACGACCATGAAGCCGATGTATACAGACGGCTTATAGAGTTGCAGAACAAACATGAAAGTACCAGTCCGACCAAATCGCCGACATTGCGAGCCGTCACAAAACAACCCCTTATAACCGTAACACCGTGTGGAGCAGAAGCAATAGTATTATCCCCAATAAAAACAGAGTACGCCCTTCCCCACATTTCCGCGGAAAGGTCACATGGAGAGTCAAGCACAGGGGTAACAAACGATCAAAAAGTACAGAAGATGTCGCCAACAAACCCCGAATATGGATTTCAAAAAGATTCTCCGCCCAAGCCATCCAATAATTCGTCGTTACTCGTAATTCTCGACCAAATCCGAAAATGGAATATTACTTTTGAAAATGGAATGGACCCTATTGGATTCGTAGAACGTGTAGAAGAAATGGCTGAAATGTACATCGTGGAAGTGAATCAAATAATTAAAGTAATGCCTGAGTTGTTACGAGGTAAAGCTTTAATCTGGCTAAGGAACAACAACCGACACTGGACTACCTGGAACGAATTTAAGAGTGATTTTCTGAAATTCTTTTTGCCACCGAGATACTTTGAGAAATTGGAGGATGAAATTAGGAGAAGGATACAGCGTAATAAGGAGCCGTTTAAGGAATATGTACTCTCTATACAGCATCTTATGCAGCACACCAATATGACCGAAGAACAAAAATTGGAACGAATTTTTAGAAACGCGCATTCGGATTATCAATGGTACATTCGCCGTAAAGACTTTACCACACTTTCGGAATTGATCTCCTTGGCAGACGAACTCGAAAGCATACCAAATAATTCTCGGTCGGAACAGCCTCGAAATCAACAAAACTATAATCGACGTGCGGACAACTCTAGAAATAACCTGTATTGCACCAATCAAGGTGACCAAGTGCTAAACGAAAGCTCATCCAATCCAGAAACGCAGCAGGATGAACCCCCGGCAAAGAAGAGTAACCAGAATGTTACATCATTGCAATGTGAAGAATATCGCCTTACTGCAACTGTCTTAATAGAGGGGAAAGCTATTAAAGCAACTGTCGACACTGGTGCCACTAGCTGTTTTATAAAAAGAGAATTTGCGGAAAAAATCAAGAAAAGGTTTACTTATTCACGGCATGAGGCAAATGTTATCCTCGCAGACGGCACCACGGTGAACATCACAAGATCAACAGTGTTACCTGTTACATTTGGAAACCAAAGCTCAGATGTTACATTTCTCATCATGCCGCAATTCAAGGAAAACATCATATTGGGATTGGAATTTCTAAAACAGTTCCACACGACCATTCACTGCGCCGGTATAAGTGTCAAATTAAGTAAGCCAACCACCTCAACGGAGCATTGTACCGTGGCTATAGGAGAGGAAACCCCATCAAAAGAGGTAATAGATACAATGACAGCTACGAATAATGTATCCCCCAGACCTAAATTCTTAAACGATGAATTGAGTAAAACGCAATGTGAGATCGTTGAAAATTTTCTGGCACAGGAACTCCCTAAGTTCCAACAATTAAATGGCCTATCGTCAATAGCTGAACATAAGATTGTAATGACCGACGATCGACCCATTAAATTAAGATATGCTCCGCGAAATCCTGCAATGCAAGCCGTGATTAATGCCGAAGTGAGAAAGCTCGAAGAACGAGGATGTATAGAGCCGTCTACAAGCCCATACTGTTTCCCCATCACATTAGTCAGAAAGAAAAATGGGAATTGGAGAACTTGTATGGATTTTCGCCAATTGAATAAACGTTCTGTTCCAGATGCCTACCCTTTACCCCGCATCGACACAATACTGAATCGACTACGGGATGCCAAATACGTGAGTAGCCTGGACCTTAAAGACGGATATTGGCAAATACCTATGGCGAAGGAGAGCAGAAAATACACGGCCTTTGCGGTAGCTGGTAAAGGTCTATATCAGTGGAAAGTGATGCCTTTCGGTTTGCATTCAGCACCGGCAACCTTCCAACGGGCATTAGATAGTGTGATTGGGCCTGAAATGGACCCCCACGCTTTTGCATACCTTGACGATATCATCGTCATTGGAAAAACGTTTGAGGAACACTTGCGGAACTTGAGAGAAGTGTTCAGAAGATTGCGATCAGCTAACCTGAGAATAAACATTGAGAAATGCGAATTTTTCAGAAAAGAAACGAAGTATTTAGGCCATGTTGTGAGTAGCGAGGGAATAAAGACGGATCCAGATAAAGTTGCCGCAATAGTGGAAATGAAACCTCCAACATCGGTAAAGGAGGTACGAAGATTTCTTGGAGTAGCATCTTGGTACCGAAGATTTGTCCCACAGTTTGCAACAATTTCACAACCATTGACTAGTCTTCTTAAAAAGGGAAAACATTGGAAATGGGGTCCCGAACAACAAGAAGCATTCTCAGACCTAAAAGCAAAGTTAACTGAAGCCCCCGTTCTGGCTTGTCCGGATTTCACAAAGACGTTCATATTGCAAACTGATGCCAGCAACTATGGCCTTGGAGCAGTTCTAACACAGGAGTTAGATAACGTGGAACGTGTCATAGCCTACGCCAGCAGACATTTAAAACAGGCTGAAAAGAACTACTCAGCGACTGAAAGGGAATGTCTAGCCATACTGTGGGGCATCAGACACATGAGACCCTATTTAGAGGGTTACCAGTTTATAGTTATTACCGATCATTTGGCCCTAAAATGGTTAAATTCTATTGAAAGCCCTACAGGTCGACTCGCACGTTGGGCTCTCGAGCTACAGCAATATAATTTTTTGATCAGATACCGTAGAGGAAAACAGAACGTTGTGGCAGATGCGCTTTCGAGAACACCTTTGGAAACGGTAGACCTAGCCACAGTAAAATATGACACCAGTCCGTGCCCATGGCTAGAAAAGTTGAAGGAAACCATAACCAAGAATCCGAAGAAGTATCCAGACTATACAATCATTGAGGGAAATGTTTATCGACATTTTCCCAAGCAAATAAACGATGAAGATTGCACACCATGGAAGCTGTGTGTGCCCACCGGATCAAGGATTCAGGTCCTTAGAGAAAATCATGACAGTGTCACCGGAGGTCATTTGGGAGTGCGAAAGACTAGCAACAAGGTGGCGAACCGCTATTTTTGGCCTGGTATGTTCCAGGACATCAAACGTTATGTCCAGCAGTGCGAATGTTGCCAAAAATATAAAGTCAGCCAACAGAAACCAGCAGGGGAAATGTTGATAAGAATCCCGGAGGAACCATGGGCCACTATTTGTGCGGACTTCGTAGGACCCCTACCGCGATCTAAGCACGGTAACTCAATGCTACTCGTTATTATGGATAGATTCTCAAAATGGACGGAGTTGGTTCCATTGCGGAAGGCTACGACAGAGGGATTAATAAAGGCATGCAGAGAAAGAATTATTTCTAGATATGGGGTTCCAAAAATATTGATAACCGATAACGGAACCCAATTCACTAGCAACCAATTCGAAAAATTCCTAGCAGAAATGGGTATAAAGCATCAACTTACGGCTCCTTACACCCCGCAAGAGAACCCTACTGAAAGGACAAATCGGACAGTGAAAACAATGATAGCACAAGTTTCGAAACAACATAATACATGGGACGATATGCTGCCCGAAATAATGTTAGCCATAAACACTAGTGCATCAGAATCCACTGGATATTCGCCGGCATACCTGACACAAGGAAGAGAACCGCGACTGCCCCAGGCATTATATGATCAGCTCACAACAGGAACTGGTGCTAGAATAGTCTTACCAGAAGACCGTGCCCAGGAGTTGAAAGAAATATTTAAGATAGTGCGTCGAAACTTGGCAAAAGCATCTCAAAACCAGCGGAGACAGTACAACCTTAGACGACGAGTTTGGAAACCAAAGATTGGGGAGCAAGTTCTAGTTCGTCTACATCCTCAGTCGAAGGCCGTCGAAAATTTCGCCGCCAAACTAGCGCCCAAATACGGAGGGCCGTTTGTCGTACAAAAATTCCAATCTCCAGTAATCGTTGTAGTCCGAGGAAAAGACAACATCACCCGCGTCGCGCACTTAAGTGAAATTAAGCCTTTTTATGAAGAACAAAATTAAATTGTAGACATAGAAGTAGAATGTTGATTGTAGTTCCACTTACGTATGTGATGCCATTTCATTATAATTTCTTATTTTATTTTTAGACATTAAATTGACAATACCCAAACTAATCAGTGTCCTAATATAAGCCCATACTTCAAAGACCATCGCAATTCTCAAAATTTCAACATCACGATGGAGCAAGATAGCCCCAACACGAAAAAATTCAAACGGGCGAAGGAGAAATTTCGAGCTCATCTGGAACAAGTCGAGGCTCAAAGGCGAAGGACAATATTTTTAGACGAAGGTCCTAGTACCAGCCGAAAGAGGAGAACAAATCAATACCGTAAGCCCAATCCAAGAAAGGGTAGCAGTCAATCCTCATCGCCCCAGCACCAAATATTTTACCGAATGTGCAGCACAACCCCGAATGACGTTCCACAGCAAAAGTGTAACACGACCGAAAACAACAGCGACGATATCGATGAAACTGACTCTTTGAACGAGGAAACCCAGCCTAGTAGTGACGTCCCGCGTACACCAACCTACGCCCCGTGTTTTGGTTCGCCAAATAGCTTTAAGCCGGCTTCCGATGTGCTCTCAACACCCACTTCAAGGTGCTCAGAAATGCCTGTTACACCGGGTAAAGAATGGTGTCGTGACTCAGATGACGCATCAACTCTTTCTCGGCCCAATATGGAGGAGTCGGGTGAATCTCAATCAAATTTCGAAATGGATGAAGAATGTCGGCGTATGTTTTACGGTTACTTAGAAACCTCAGTGACTCGGCGAGCACAGTCACCCTTATCCTCGAATAATTCCTCGCTGGATGAGTCGGATAACGAAGATCAACGTTCCTCGTCTCCGCCAAAAAGGTATGGTCTGGGATTTGTCCGTCAGAAAGATAGCCAATACAAATATCTCGGATTTCGCTGTTATGAGAGAACAGTTACTGTGCAGCTTTTGGTCCCCGACTCCGGGGAAAATCCAATATATGAAATAACCAACCCACCGCCGGATAATCATCGTACGCCCTCACCCGCGATAGGGGAAGAGATCAACACCGAAGATATCCATTCAATATCCAACACCTCACACAAACATGAGGAGGTTCCTACTTCATCCTCACATGCTTTCGCACATTTAGAAGAAGACTCCAGATCGACCGCAAGTAGTTTTGTGACAGTTTCCGAAGATCCTAGTTCTGAGTGGTGGACCCAATGGCAGACGCTGGTTGGTGTTCCTCCATCATCACCGCCATATAACATAACCGAACAAGCAAATCTGTTGCATAGTGATGACGTACAAATTCCATCGCAATCCAATGCTGCCGTCATATCGGACGATCACAGGTCCCCCAACGTGAAGGAAGATAAATCATTACCAGGAACGCCGGGACACGTTGTCGAACTGTCATCACCATCGATGTCTCCCCGATCGTCATCCTCATCCTCATCAGCCTCGTCGTCTTTATCGTCATCCTCATCCTCATCAGCCTCGTCGTCTTCATCATCATCCACAAGCCAAACGATGACACCTCATCAGCCAACATTGTGTAGCAGTCAACCTTCCATCGATGAAGTGTTTATACCCAGTAAGGAGAATAATAGCACACCAAGTACAATCAAATTGCCAGTCACTGAAATCCCAACTGAGTCAACGCCATCGTCCTCGACAGACAATCCCGTGAACGATAACACAATTCTCGAACTGCCAAATTATCCCGAAAACCTACAAATCCGTATCGAGAAGTTTAAAAACAATTGGAAAAAGGGACACAAACTGAAGCGAATTGTTAAACAAGATGGCAAGCAGTACCGCATAATAATATCAGCAGACGGGGTAGTGAAGGTATCTCTCCGAACTTCTGCAATTGGTCTCTAACATACCTTCCTATTCGACCGAGATATAGTCGAACCAAAGTGCCCATGTCGGAGAAATAAAAGGTTACATAACACCCTAGGGCTTCCTGGCTATTGAAACCCAATAGCAATAGAGAAAGCAAATCAAGGAATCAAAAATCAGAGGGAGGAAGAGATGCCATGTAACGCCCAAAAGTCATGCTTTCGTTTTTGGGGTACATTATTATTTTAAATACCATTTTTACTTACGTATGTTATATACATCAACTATGAATTATATTTTTGTTTGAAAATGAATTAAAATATTTAAGTTATGAATTAAACTAACAGCTACTCAGGGTCATGTAATTTAAATGTATTTGAATATTAACGGTCACACAGGTCCCCTAGTAGAAAGAAGTATACTTAAAATACAACATTGGAACCCCTGGTGGCAAATGGCGGAACTACGCAAAACTGTCAGATTGGGATCAGCTGCTGTCATGAGAAAACAACAATCGTTGTCCAGCCAAAAAGGTATAAAAGGAGACGCATTTCACACAATCGAGATCAGTCTTCTGTTGATGGCTGGTAAGTCAAGTGTGATTGGGAGGAAGAAAAGGCGCGCAACCTCGGTTGAATTGAGTCTTAGTAAGCCAAACAATAAGCCTTGACTATTTGTGGTGACTGGACTGGACTGAACGCAGGGTCAAGTGAGGGTTGTAGCAATACTCCCTATTCTTCGGGCTGCGTTGACGGCGACTGAACGCAGGGTCAAGTGAGGGTTGTAGCAATACTCCCTATTCTTCGGGCTGCGTTGACGGCGACTGAACGCAGGGTCAAGTGAGGGTTGTAGCAATACTCCCTATTCTTCGGGCTGCGTTGACGGCGACTGAACGCAGGGTCAAGTGAGGGTTGTAGCAATACTCCCTATTCTTCGGGCTGCGTTGACGGCGACTGAACGCAGGGTCAAGTGAGGGTTGTAGCAATACTCCCTATTCTTCGGGCTGCGTTGACGGCGACTGAACGCAGGGTCAAGTGAGGGTTGTAGCAATACTCCCTATTCTTCGGGCTGCGTTGACGGCGACTGAACGCAGGGTCGAGTGAGGGCTGTAGCAATACTCCCTATTCTTCGGGCTGCGTTGACGGCGACTGACGTACTCATCGGGCTGCTGCTGTGCCAAAGCTGCCGCCACCCGATTCGTCGTGCGCGTATTCATCGGGCCGCCGCTGTGCCAAAGCCGCCGCCACCCTATTCGCCGCTCGCCTATTCATCGGGCCGCCGCTGTGCCAAGCTGCCGCCACCCTATTCGTCGCTCGCCTATTCATCGGGCCGCCGCTGTGCCAAGCTGCCGCCACTACTACTCGCCGCTGACGTATTCATCGGGCCGCCGCTGTGCCAAAGCCGCCGCCACCCTATTCGCCGCTCGCCTATTCATCGGGCCGCCGCTGTGCCAAGCTGCCGCCACCCTATTCGTCGCTCGCCTATTCATCGGGCCGCCGCTGTGCCAAGCTGCCGCCACTACTACTCGCCGCTGACGTATTCATCGGGCCGCCGCTGTGCCAAGCTGCCGCCACTACTACTCGCCGCTGACGTATTCATCGGGCCGCCGCTGTGCCAAAGCCGCCGCCACCCTATTCGCCGCTCGCCTATTCATCGGGCCGCCGCTGTGCCAAGCTGCCGCCACCCTATTCGTCGCTCGCCTATTCATCGGGCCGCCGCTGTGCCAAGCTGCCGCCACTACTACTCGCCGCTGACGTATTCATCGGGCCGCCGCTGTGCCAAAGCCGCCGCCACCCTATTCGCCGCTCGCCTATTCATCGGGCCGCCGCTGTGCCAAAGCCGCCGCCACCCTATTCGTCGCTCGCCTATTCATCGGGCCGCCGCTGTGCCAAGCTGCCGCCACTCTATTCGTCGCTCGCCTATTCATCGGGCCGCCGCTGTGCCAAGCTGCCACCACTGCTACCCGTTTATTAACATTTCGACTGAACTTTGTGATTTAGTGTTCTTCGTAAAACGTTCTGAACGTGATTTTATTGTGTTTAGTGTAGTGTTAGTGTTATTTAAGGAAATAAATTTATAACGTTTTAAGAAAATATTTTTGCTTCGCTCTCTCTCTCTTTATGTCCTAACAAATAAATTTTTGTGACGACTCTGGCCCCCGCTGAACCTACCCCAGCTTCAAAGTGAAAACACGTCGTCACATACTGTTTTGAATTCCCGTTTAAAGTACAGATTCCGTAAATATATCATAATTGCCCCGAAAATAATCATGGTCTCGTGGGTACGGTCAAAAATTAAAAATAATCTATCACTCGTTCCCGTGATACAGGTAGCGTAGCCCGACGTCAAGGAAGTGAACGGAAGAAAACAGCAAAATCAGCAGAAATGGCTCAAAATGTAAAGAAGCGACTTGTTCGAAACCCGCGTCAGAGTGGCCTAAAAATGTCTCGTGAGCTGAACATATCGCAATGTTTTCTTCGACAAATATTGCAAAACGAGCTAGAGGTAAACCATAGAAATTCCAAGAAGTACAAGAACTGACACCGCAACAGAAAGAAAATAGACTCAAAAGAGCTAAAGAGTTGCTTCTCTGGGCCGAAGGTGGTGAACTGCCAGCAGTTTGTACAGCAGTTTGTAAACAAACAAAATGATCGTGTTTACTTGCCAAAGAGGTCGGCTGAAAATGTATATCTTCGATTGGCCACCAGAACTTAAGGCCCGGTCATTGTGATGGTGTGGGCCGCCATAACAGCCGATGGTCGCTCTCCGCTCGTATTAATCGACCGTTACATCAGAATAAATGCCGAATATTGTCGAGAAATTATGCTGGAGGGTGTATTAAAGCCTTGGGCACGCAAACATTTTTGCGCAGACCTTGGACATTCCAAAAGTAATCAGCACCATCGCACTCAGCACGCGCCATCCAAGAATGGTTACAAAATGAGCTTCCTCGCTTCATTTCCAGTGCACAATGGCCTTCAAAATCTCCGGATACCAATTCGTTGGACTGTTGTGTATGGAGTATTTTGGAAAGCAAGGTGGGCACTAAAAAATACCAAAGTGTAGACCACATCAAGCAAGCGCATCGCCGGAAACGGGCCAAAGTACCGCAGAGCAACATTCGAAAAGCGTGTGACAGTTTCATTGTCCGTTTGACTGCCATAATTCGTGACAAAGGAGACCAATTCGAACAAATCTAAACTTTTTCTAAAATTTTTTGCTTTCATGCAAAAAAAAAATTAAAAATATGTAAAAATTATGGCGTTTGACTTGGATGCAATTTTTTTATCTCACTTTGTATATAGTCAGAAACAGAAGTTATAGCGAAAAAATATAACACTTATATTTCGGAATACCATTTGAATTTCAGTTTAAAGAACAGACACCGTAAATATATAGCAATTGACCCGAAAATATTCATGGCCTCGTGGGTACGGTTAAAAATTAGATAACCCATCTTCTGTAATGAAAGGGCCATAGGACTGAATTAAGCTTAGATATAGTTCTGCCAAATATGGAAAAATCGGCTTAGTATTTTCCAGACTATTCGGTTTTAACAATCTGATATCTATAATATGCTCTCAATTTGAATAATATATCGGAAAATGCCATAACATTTCTCTACAAATTATATACAATTGGCTCAACAGACAAAATGGATGCTCTGAGTAAGTGCTGGCAGTCTTATAATTAAAATTTGTTAAATTCTTCCAAATTTTGGTATAGCTCTCTACACTCTCAATTAAGATTGTGATACCCATAGAGATACCTATAGGAAGGTATTTTATTCCACTCCGACTTCAACCCAAATGCAATATATAGCAGTATATATTATACATAGAAAATGGCGCCCAACTTTGACTCTTTCCTTATTGGTTCCTCATTCCTTCTTCTTATTCAAATGACATCCTTATTAGATTATCACATTAGAATATGGGATACCATTATCTCAGGCTTATGTAACCCACTTAAGCATCTTCGTTTTGAACTCATTTTAATGACTTGACTTTCTTCGACACTCAACTTTGACCCTTAAATGCGATTAACTCGTTTATTCAATAGCAACTATTCAGAATACTCTGTAACAACTAACAATGACAGTAGACAGTTTTTAAGACTCTTAAGTAACAAAAGAACCATTAGTTGACATTTTTTCATTGGAGTCTCCTTAAATCTCTTTAAGGAATCTTTGTTAGTCCATTTGAAAACCGAAAAGCAACGTATTGATTTTGTAAGTTTCTTTAAAAAGCTATTCCTGGGAAAAAGAAAAATCATCATCTTATCTAAAACTAACAAGAAACAAAATCCATATGTCTGTTTGGCAGGGGGGAAAGGGGCCATAAACGACCATGGTAACCAATAGATAAATCAATGGTTTGAGACGCACATAGACGTCCGTACATTCACATACAACATATTTCAATGAAATATGTTGTTTACATAAGCAAAACCAGTGAAACAAACCAGACACGTGTATATAAGCCTTAACTTTTCCAAGTTGTTGTAGGCAATTTTTCGTAGGTTGTTGTTTTTGTTGTTGAGCCTATTAAAAAAAGAGAGGATAGAACGCATACACACCATTAAATCGATATCCAAAAGCTGTTGTTCTTTTCATGCCACTGTTTTTCTTTAGGATTTGCTTCCTTTTTTTTTTTTTTTTTTTTTTTGAAAAAAGTCCATTCAATTGAACACTTTCGTATAGAAAATTCGTCGATATACATTTATACTTACATTGTTTTGAAAAAGGCCAAAGGCATATTTAACCCCATAGTTACTAAGGAAAAAAACGTTATCGAAACTCAGACGAGAGGATTTAGGGCTTGGTGCAACACAAAGTGAAAACAAGTGTTAAAAACAAATTTTACCTAGAGGAAGAAAATATGGTATGATAGGCATTCTTATAAGTATTGGGGTACTTGTATAAGTACTTATGCAGCCGAACGCTTCTGGAGTAACTTCCGAAATACAACCAAATTTGTTGATTTTTTATACCCTCAGCTATATGGCTAGAGAGGGTATACATCATATGCTACGGTCAAAACGTGCCTAGTCGAAATAACGGGTTTAGGTTTTTTAGGTCTCTGGACGAAATCCGTTTCAGGACATTTGGAGTCGATCTAGTCCGTCCGTTCGTCTGCCTGTCTGGCTGGTGCTAGGTTAGGTGCAAGAAATAGATAATATGGAGTCACTCCATCAAGTGCCTCCCCCATAAAGGGTCAACATTTTGAATAATTATAAGTCTTAAAAAATGTGTTATCAGAATACAATTGTCTTAACATTTCACACATCTCAATATTTTTATAAACCCAAGATCTCGTGAAAAGATGAAGTATATAATGGTAACGAGATAGACCCATAGTTCCTTTTGATGATCTGCTTAGAATCACATTCTGTGTCGATTTATGCACGTCCGTCTGTCCATGTATTTTTGTAAACAAAGAACAGTTCGCATTTTTTTCACTATCTGGATGAAATTTTGCAACGACCCAACCAATCCTATTGAAATTGGAGATAATCGGTCAAAATTTATATATAGCTCCCATATATATCATCGTCCGATTTGCACCAAACGTGTAATATCAGCCCGAATATTATGGAATTTTGCACATACAACCAAATTAGGCCTGAAAATAAGTATGCCAAATTTGATCGAAATGGGTTCAGATATAGCTATAGCTCCCATATATATTGTTCATCCGATTTGTTAGTTTTGTCCTCCGCAGCCGTAATATGCACTCTGTAACAACAATATTTGGGGAAATATATCAAATACAGCTCAGAAATACATTTGCTAAATTTTATCGACATCGGTTCAGATTTGGATATAGCTCCCATATATAACTTCGTCCGATTTACCTTTTATTGTGCACTCAACCTGTAATATTTGCCCAAATGGGATGAAATTTGGCACTAACGACCGAATTGAGTCCAGAAGCTAGTACGTCAAATTTAGTGAAGATCGGTTAAGATATAGCTATAGCTCCCATATATATTGTTCATCCGATTTGTAGTATTTGTTACCCACAGCCGTAATATGCACTCCGTAACCACGATATTCAGGGAAATATATCAAATACAGGTCAGAAATATCTT